CCCCACCCTCCCTCTTCACTTCCACCTCCCTCTCCTCCTCCTCCTCCTCCTCCTCCTCCTCCTCCTCCTCCTCCTCCCTCCCCTCTTCCCTCTTCCTGCTCTCCTCCTCCTCCTCCTCCTCTTCTTTCTTCCTCTCCTGCTCCTCCTTACCTGTGTTGGGCTTCGGTAAGCCTTCCGACGCACCCCCCCCCCTCTCACCACGCTCCGTCGCGGCGTGCACTCCCCACCTCCCTCCTGGAGGCGCCGTGGGTGGCCCGACGCTCCCCCCCCCCCGAGGCCCTCCGGGGCGTCCAAGAGACGGCCCGCGAAGGCCCCACCACGGCCGACCATGTGGCCCGACCTTGCCCCAAGAGGCACCAATGCAGCCCCAGAAGGAGAAGCAACGCCATACACACAAGCTTTTGGCGCTCCGCGCGGATTTCTTGGATCTGCGCTGGACGCCCATGCCTGGCGCGCCCCGCGCGCCAGGGGCGGCGCCGGAGGCGCCGCCTGGGGGTCCCAGCGCAGATCCAAGAAATCCGCGCGGAGCGCCAGTGTCGCCACACTGCGTACTGCGCTGGCACGGTGGCGGCATCTGCCGCAAACAGCCGGACATTTCTGAACGTGGTGGCCGAATCCTGGCCTGAAAACGCGACGGAGCACTACTCAGGCAAGAGCAGAAATCACCCCCGAGATACCAGGCCATGCAGGTTCGCCGCCCAGACAGATATCGCTGCCCAGAAACATAACCTTTAGAAGACGTGCTAATCTCACTGGTTCTGAGGAGGTCTGAACTTAGTGGGCCCTGGAAACGGCAAGGCCGTTTTTTTACCGATTCCGTTTTGCAATTTTTTTGCCGGTTCCGACGCCGTTTTTTTACCGGTTCCGTCGCCGTTTTTGGACCGGTTCCAGCTCCGGTTCCGATCCTGGAGCTGATTTTTTTCCGTTTCCGGTCGCCGTTTTTTGCCGTTTCCATTTTCAAGAACATTTTTTCGGAAACGGTGAAAAAACGGCCCTTCCGTTTCCGGGGCCCACAAAGGGTCTGAAGCTTCCAAGGTGCATGGGCCGACCAGGACGTAAACGTGGAAGCACACGGGAAGATCGTGCAGGCGGTCATCTCACCAGCAAGAGGGGGGTGATGACATGATGATGGTGAGCTGAGGGGGATGAGGGATAAGAAGGTGGACGGATGAGAAATTGCATAATAAAATCCGCAGGGCCCATGCCAAGACTCGAAAGTATCAAGTCGTTGGAACTCTGGATCTCGAGGGCCGGTCACAACATTCGACGATAAGCTGTTTTCATTACGCGGCCCAAGCAGTCTAGACCACCTCCTCGAGGGTGTATGTATGCGTGTGTGTATAGATATACACATACACAGGTCTACGTATACACATGTGTATGGCTGTATGTGTATGTCTGAAAGTGTATGAATGTATGTGTATGTATGTATGTATGCATGCATGTGTGTATGCATGTATGCTTGTATGTACGTATGAATGTATGTATTCATGTCCATAGATTGGTAGATTGTAGGTGTATA